ATTTTGGATGTCAACCCTTTGTTGGATCTGTCATTTATGAATATATTCTCCCATACTGTAGGATGCCTTTTTGTTCTATTGATGGCGTCCTTTGCTGTACAGAAGCTTTTCAGCTTGATATAGTCCCACTTGTTCATTTTTGCTTTTGTTTCCCTTGCCCGGGGAGATATGTTCAAGAAGAGGTCACTCATGTTTATGTCTAAGAAATTTTTGCCTATGTTTTTTTCTAAGAGTTTTATGGTTTCATGACTTACATTCAAGTCTTTGATCCATTTCGAATTTACTTTTATGTATGGGGTTAGACAGTGATCCAGTTTCATTCTCTTACATGGAGCTGTCCAGTTTTGCCAGCACTCTTTAGACTTCTTTCTTGGTCTTTAGAAGCTCTGACTGTGACATAGTTGCATATAATCTTTAGCTGGACGTTTATCTTCCACTTTGCTGTGGTATGTTCTGCAATGCAGAAGTGTTTCATGTAGTTGGATTTCTTGATTTTTCCTTTATTGCCCCTTGATATTGAGTCATAATTAGGAGAAATTTTCCCACACTCAGGTTTCTATAAAGACACTTATGTATTTTCTTCTAGAATTTGTATGGCTTGGTCTTTACATTTATATCCCCTACCTTTGTTGGGTCTAGAGCAGAGGGTACAAGACATCCAACTTAAATATTTCTCTGAAAAGCTGCCCAGTTGTCCCAACACCATTCATTGAAAAGATCATCTTTCTTGAAGTGGTTTGATTGACTACCTTCATCAGATACTGTGTGTCTGGCCTTTCTCTTGGTCGGTCTGTCCATCCACTCATGGACCAGTAACATGCTGTTCCAACTGTAGAAGCATCACCACCTTATGGGGCTGGAATCCTTCAATGATCTCATTCACAGTTCTCCTAGATCCTTTTGCATATTTATTTTTCTCTGTGAACTTTGGAGTCATTTGGTCCAGATCCAGAAAAAAAATGATGCCTGTATTGGGATAGGTCTATACATCAATATAGTGGTTAAGGGAGCACTGATACTCTAAATGAGGTTGAGTTGTCCTATGTGAGAACAAGTGCCCTCTCCTTCTACCCACGTCACTAAACTCTCTGGGCAGATGTGTTTGCAGTTTCGCATGCCAGCTGCAGCCCCCAGCTGGGGCCACGGGTCCAGGGGCCGTTGGACTCAGCGGTGCAGAGAAGCCTATTGCCACCATATTCATGTAGCTCTGCTGTAGGATGTGGCCCTAGAGGGAGCGCGCCTTCCCCCATCTCAGACCTGGGAGTGTGAGAGGAGTCGGACAAGGCCCAGGGCGGCCGGGACAGAGCCAGTGAGGGCAGACCCTGGCTGCAGTGTTGGGGCTCCTTCCAGCACCTTCCCTGGTTGTCCTCACGCACCTATTCCTCCACCTCTGTCCCTTGAAACAGAGGCCTGTCATGGTGCAGTGGCCCCGTCAGCCATAGAGTGGGGAGAGGCCGGGTGATGCACTCCTTTGTGCACTGCCAGCTTTGTCCCGCCTGCTCGGACAGTGTCAGCAAAGCAGAATGTTTAGAGGAACTTCTGGTTAACTGGGGTGTTGCATCTCTATCCCAGGTTCCTCCATGACCAAAATAGCTCAGCGTTCAAATTCTATCGCAAGAAAGTATTTGAACTGTGCCCCTCGATTTGTTTTTCATCGCCTCTGCTGAACCTCCGCACCGGCGAGGGAGCTGATTCCCAGGAGAGTCCCCTGGAGCCTGTGGGCAGGGGAGGAGAGTTTGAGGACAAGCCCCCGAAGCAGGAGACAGAGCCGGAGAGCCCCGACATGATGCCCGGGGACGAGGACGACGAGGACGGCGAGGATGCGGATGGCGAGGAGGACGAGGAGGATGGCGAGGAGGCCCCCACCCATGGAGGGGCTTCCCGGCACATGCGGGAGACCGCTGAGGCCCAGGGCTCTGGCGCCAGCCCTCCTGCTGATGGCTTCCTGAGCGAGGTGGCGGACGACGGCCAAGCTGGCACCCCCATCCCGTCCCAGGCCTCCTTGGGGGCCTGCTTCCCTCGGAAGAGGGTCAGCAGCAAGTCCCTGAAGGTCGGCATGATTCCAGCTCCCAAGAGGCTGTGTCTCACCCAAGAGCCCACAGGTGAGTGCCTGGCCCTCGTCCCAGACCCCTGCACAGGCTGCCCTTGAGCACCCAGAAGGGTCTCGGCGCTCGCTTGTGGAGACAGGTGGAGACATTCCTGACTCACGGGATTTACTGACCCACAGCCCAAGCCCAGCCACAAGATGACCTAGCTGGCCCATCACCTTTCTTGCCTCTGATTATACCTGCTGACCTGACGTTGTCTTCCTAAGTCCCCCTAGGGCCGACGTGACATGGGGCTCTGTGGTCTGGTTTTTTTAACCAAAATCGTCTCTGTGATTTTGCTCACCACTCCAGAACGTCCTGTGCAGCTCACATCCAGCTGGGGTAAGGCTGGCTCTCTGAGGATGGGCTGCCACATTAGGCTGTGGCTCCTGGTGCCCTGCTCAGTGTTGCCATTACTGCTCAGATCCCAGTAGAGCAGCACCGGCTATGGAGGGCCAGGGCCTGGGTCAGTTCAGCATCTCCTACCTGTGACCTTGGGAGGTGCCCAGCCTTCTGAGTACCCTCAGGAAAGCCCAAGGTGGATAGACCTGCTTAGCAACGGAGACTGGGGGACACAGAGTGGGCCAGTCTGGGCAGCGCTGGGAAGCTGTGTGTTTGGTGCTGTGCCTGCCTTGGCAACAGGAGGCTGGCTCTTCCGTGGGAAGGTTCAGGGTTCTTGAGGTACAACTTCCCAGTAATAAAGTGCACCCTTTTTAAGGGAACAGGTTGAGGAGTTTTGCAGATGTGCAGACTTGAACCCCCTAGTACAGCAGAGCTGGGGCTTGTCCCCAGAAATAACTGTGTCCTTTTGCAGTGCCCTCTGTGCTTCCTGGCCTCATGGTTCTGCATTTCCAGACTGTCAGTCCGTGGAATAGCATCGTATGCAGCCTTCTGATGGGCTGGGTGTAGCCAGGCTTATTGCTTGTGCCCTCCGCCCACCCAGGAGTCACCAGTGCTGCGACACCTGCATGTGAGCTTGGGAATCATGCCTGTCCCTTGTCACCTGTGTGCTCTATGTTATTGAGACTCATGTTCACACCCAGCAGCGTCAGTTAGCAGACCAGTCCCTGTCTTTTGTGTTTGGATACCCTACCCTTAACATGGTACATTAACTGTTCCACTGTGCTCTTTCCTCCTTCAGAAGGGTGCAGCGCACGTTGTGGGAGCTCATCAGAATGCTTGTTGTGGATGTCCTTGTGGGGAAAAGTGGAGTTCTTTCTGGTTTGAACTTCTGAGTACTTTAGGAGTTGATGAGACAGATTCATTTGCAAAAATAATAATGTGATGTGGTATTCTGTGTGATAAGCATGGTGGTTTATGCTGGAATTCTTCATCGGTGGGGTAGTCGCAGGGACACTAAGAGTGCAGAGTGTTGTAAATAGTGCATTTGTCAAAAAAAAAAACAGTGTTCCTCCCCTGTGCTCTAGGGCCTTCACCATAAATGTGGAGTCAGAGGGTAGGGGGCCTTCCATTGAAGCAGATGCTTCAGGTAGAGGCAGCCCCCAGTGGAGCAGGCAGGTTCAGCCCCTGAGCTCGGGAGTCTCATGACCTCTGAACGGTGCTGGAGGGGCTGCTGGAGGGGCTTCTGGCCAAAACTGCAGCCCCTCATTTTCTCTCCTGAATAATTTGGGGAGAGTGCATGTATGTTTGTTTGTTTGTTTGTTTTATTTTGGTATCATTAATATAGTTACATGAGCAACATTGTGGTTACTAGATTGCCCCCATTATCAAGTCCCCCCACACACCCACCATTACAGTCACTGTCCACCAGCGTAGTAAGATGCTAGAGAGTCACTACTTGTCTTCTCTGTGCTATACTGCCTTCCCCATGACTGCCCTACATTATGTGTGCTAATCGTAATGCCCCTTTTTCCCCTTATCCCTCCTCCCTTCCCACTCATCCTCCCCAGTGCCTTTCCCTCTGGTAACTGTTAGTCCATTCTTGGGTTCTGTGAGTCTGCTGCTGTTTTATTCCTTCCATTTTTCTTTGTTCTTATACTCCACCGATGAGTGAAATCATTTGATACTTGTCTTTCTCCACCTGGCTTATTTCACTGAGCATAATACCCTCTGGGTCCATCCATGTTGTTGCAAATGGTAGGATTTGTTTCTTTCTTATGGCTGGATAATATTCCACTGTGTATATGTACCACATCTTCTTTATCCATTCATCTACTGATGGACACTTAGGTTGCTTCCATTTCCTCGCTACTGTAAACAGTGCTGTGATAAACATAGGGGTGCATATGTCTTTTTCAAACTGGGCTGCTGCATTCTTAGGGTAAATTCCTAGGAGTGGAATTCCTGGGTCAAATGGTATTTCTATTTTTAGTTTTTTGAGGAACCTCCATACTGCTTTCCACAATGGTTGAACTAATTTACATTCCTACCAGCAGTGTAGGAGGGTTCCCCATTCTCCGCATCCTCACCAGCATTTGTTGTTGTTTGTCTTTTGGATGGTGGCGATCCTTACTGGTGTGAGATGATATCTTATTGTGATTTTAATTTGAATTTATCTGATGATTAGTGATGTGCAGCATCTTTTCATGTGCCTGTTGGCCATCTGAATTTCTTCTTTGGAGAAGTGGCTGTTCAGATCCTCAGACCATTTTTTAACTTGGTTATTTGCTTCATGTTTGTTGAGGTGCATGAGCTCTTTGTATATTTTGGATATCAACCCATTATCAGTTACGGCATTTATGAATATCTTCTCCCATATTGTAGGATGCCTTTTTGTTCTATTGATGGTGTCCTTTCCTGTACGGAAGCTTTTTAGTTTGATATAGTCCCTCTTGTTCGTTTTTGCTTTTGTTTCCCTTGCCCAGGGAGATATGTTCATGAAGAAGTTGTTCAAGTTTATATTCAAGAGAGTTTTACCTATGTTGTCTTCTAAGAGTTTTATGGTTTCATGACTTATATTCAGGTCTTTGATCCATTTCGAGTTTACTTTTGTGTATGGAGTTAGACAATAATCCCATTTAATTCTCCTACATGTAGCTGTCCAGTTTTGCCAACACCACCTGTTGAAGAGGCTGTCATTTCCCCATTGTATGTCCATAGCTCCTTTATCATATATTAATTGACCATGTATGCTTGGGTTTATATCTGGACTCTCTATTCTGTTCCACTGGTCTATGGGTGTGTTCTTGTGCCAGTACCAACTTGTCTTGATTACTGTGGCTTTGTAGTAGAGCTTGAAGTTGGAGAGCAAGATCCCCCCTGCTTTATTCTTCCTTCTCAGGATTGCTTTGGCTATTCAGGGTCTTTTGTGGTTCCATATGAACTTTAGAACTATTTGTTCCAGTTCATTGAAGAATGCTGTCAGTATTTTGATAGGGATTGCACTGAATCTATAGATTGCTTTAGGCAGGATGGCCATTTTAACAATATTAAGTCTTCCTAGCCAAGAGCATGGTATGAATTTCCATTTATTAGTGTCCCCTTTAATTTCTCTTAAGAGTGTCTTTTAGTTTTCAGGGTATAGGTCTTTCACTTCCTTGGTTAGGTTTATTCCTAGGTATTTAATTCTTTTTGATGCAATTGTGAATGGAATTGTTTTCCTGATTTCTCTTTCTGCTAGTTCATTGTTAGTGTATAGGAAAGAAACAGATTTCTGTGTATTAATTTTGTATCCTGCAACTTTGCTGAATTCAGATATTAGTTCTGATAAGGAAAATATTCAACACAGCTGTCAAGGTCAGCAAACTGCTTTTTTCCTCTGGTTGGCAAAGCACTCCCAGCTCTCCCCTCCCCTCCTCAGGGCTCCTCTTTTGCCCTGTGCATGCCAAAAAGCCACATATCAAAATAATATAAATTGCTCCCCTTGCTTGTGCTCGGGGCTCAGACCTTGGGAGATTACTCCCCTCTGAGACTGCCAGTGTAATATAAAACCACAACACTCCAAGACCTCTGAGTGCCCCTTGGTTCTTTCGTCAGTGATCCAGTCCAAGTTTTCCAGTATTTTCAGTAAGAGTTCCAGAACTTTTGGAGTGGATTATTTAGGGTATTTTATGTACAGTATTATGTCATCTGCAAACAGTGACAGTTTGACTTCTTCCTCACCAACCTTGATGCCTTTTATTTCTTTGTGTTGTCTGATTGCCATGGCTAGGACGTCCAGAACTATGTTGAATACCAGTAGGGAGAGTGGGCATCCCTGTCTTCTTCCTGATCTTAGAGGAAAAGCTTTCAGCTTCTTGCTGTTAAGTATGATGTTAGCTGTGGGCTTGTCATATATGGCCTTTATTATGTTGAGGTACTTGTCCTCTATACCCATTTTGTAGAGAGTTTTTGTCATGAATGGATGTTGAATTTTGTCAAATGCTTTTTGAGCATCTGTGGAAATGATCATGTGGTTTTTGTCCTTTTTGTTGATGTGGTGGATGATGTTGATGGATTTTCGAAGGTTGTACCATCATTGCATCCGTGGGGTGAACCCCACTTGATCATGGTTTATGATCCCCTTGATGTATTTTTGAATTCAGTTTGCTAATATTTTGTTGAGTATTTTTCATCTATGTTCATCAGGGATATTGGTCTGTAGTTTTCTTTTTTGGGGGTGTCTTTGCCTGGGTTTGGTATTAGAGTGATGCTGGCTTCATAGAATGAATTTGGAAGTATTCCCTCCTTTTCTATTTATTGGGAAACGTTAAGGAGAATGGGTATTATGTTTTCTCTAAATGTCTGATAAAATTCAGTGGTAAATCCATCTGGCCCAGGGGTTTTGTTCTTGGGTAGTTTTTCTTCTAGGTTACCCAGTTTGTTAGCATATAGATTTTCATAGTATTCTCTAATAATTCTTTGTAGTTCTGTGATGTCCCTTGTGATTTTCCCATTCTCATTTCTGATTCTGTTTATGTGTGTGGATTTTCTTTTTTTCTTAATAAGTCTGGCTGGGGGTTATCTATTTTCATTTCTCAAAGAACAGCTCTTGGTTTCATTAATTTTTTCTACTTTTTTTTAATTCTCAATTTTATTTATTTCATCTCTGATCTTTATTATGTCCCTCCTTCTGCTGACTTTGGACCTCATTTGTTCTTCTTTTTCAGTTTCAATAATTGTGAATTTAGACTATTCATTTGGGATTGTTCTTCCTTCTTTAAATAGGCGTGGATTGCTATATACTTTCCTCTTAGAACTCCCTTTGCTGTGTCCCACAGAAGCTGGGACTTTGTGCTGTTGTTACCATTTATGTCCATATATTGCTTGATCTCTGTTTTAATTTGGTCATTGATCCATTGGTTATTTAGGAGCATGTTAACCCTCTATGTATTTGTGACGCCTTTTGTTTTCTTTGTACAATTTATTTCTAGTTTTATATCTTTGTGATCTGAGAAGTTGGTTGGTACAATTTCAGTCTTTTTGAATTTAGTAAGGCTCTTTTTGTGCCTAGTGTATGGTCTGTTCTTGAAAACGTTCCATATGTGCTTGAGAAGAATGTGTATCCTGCTGCTTTTGGATGTAGAGTTCTGTAGATGTCTGTTGGGTCCATCTGTTCTAGTGTGTTGTTCAGTGCCTCTGTGTCCTAACTTATTTTCTCTCTGGTTGATCTGTCCTTTGGAGTGAGTGGAGTGTTAAAGTCTGCTAGAATGAATGCATTGCATTCTATTTCCTCCTTTAATTCTGTTAGTATTTGTTTCACATATGTAGGTACTCCTGTGTTGGGTGCATAGATATTTATAATGGTTATATCCTCTTGTTGGACTGAGCCCTTTATCATTATGTAATGTTCTTCTTTGTCTTTTGTGACTTTCTTTGTTTTGAAGTCTGTTTTGTCTGATACAAGTACTGCAACTCCTGCTTTTTTCTCCGTATTGTTTGCATGAAATATCTTTTTCCATCCCTACACTTTTAGTCTGTGCATGTGTTTGAGTTTGAAGTGAGGTTCTTATAGGCAGCATATAGATGGGTCTTGCTTTTTTATCCATTCTGTTACTCTGTGTCTTTTGATTGGTCCATTCAGTCCATTTACATTTAGGGTGATTATCCATAGATATGTACTTATTGCCATTGCAGGCTTTGGATTCGTGGTTACCAAAGGTTCAAGGGCAGCTCCTTTACTATCTAACCGTCTAACTTAACTCACTTACTAAACTATTATAAGAACAGTCTGATGATTCTTTATTTCTCTCCCTTCTTTTTCTTCCTCCTCTACTCTTTATGTTAGGTGTTTTATTCTGTCCTCTTTGTGTTAACCTTGACTCATTTTGTGGATAGCTGGTTTTATTTGGCCTTTAGTTAGTATTTGGTTGGTCTACTTTCTTTGCTGTCATTTTATTTTCTCTGGTGACAGCTCTTAGCCTTAGGCATACTTCCATCTAGAGAAGTCCCTTTAAAATACATTGTAGAGATGGTTTGTGGGAGGCAAATTCCCTCAACTTTTGCTTATCTGGAAATTGTGCAATCCCTCCTTCAAATTTAAATGATAATCTTGCCAGATAAAGTATTCTTGGTTCAAAGCACTTCTGTTTCATTGCATTGAATATATCATACCATTCCCTTCTGGCCTGTAAGGTTTCTGCAGAGAACTCTGATGATAGCCTGATGGGTTTTCCTTTGTAGGTGATCTTTTTTCTCTCTCTGGCTGCTTTTAATACCCTGTCCTTGTCTTTGATCTTAGCCATTTTAATTATTATGTGTCTTGGTGTTGTCCTCCTTGGGTCCATTGTGTTGGGAGATGTGGACTTCCATGGTCTGAGAGACTATTTCCTTCCCCAGATTGGGGAAGTTTTTAGCAATTATTTCTTCAAAGACACTTTCTTTCCCTTTTTCTCTCTCTTCTTCTGGTGTCCCTATAATGTGAATATTGTTCTGTTTGGATTGGTCACACAGTTCTCTTAGTATTTTTTCATTCTTTGAGATCCTTTTATCTCTCTTTCTGCCTCAGCCTCTCTGTATTCCTGTTCTCTGATTTATATTCCATTAACAGTCTCTTCCACCTCATTGAGTCTGCTCTTAAATCCTTCCATTGTTTGTTTTATTTCTGTTATTTCCCACCTGAATTCATCCCTTAGCTCCTGCATATTTCTCTGTAGCTCCATCATCATCCTTATGACTTTTATTTTGAATTCTTTTTCAGGAAGATTGGTGATTTCAGTCTCATCAAGCCCTCTCTCTTGTGTTGAGGGATTTGGGACTAAACAAGGTTCTTCTGCCTTTATATGGCAATGGGAATGGTGGCCAGGGAGTGGCGCGTGTGTCACCTGGGAGAACAAAATCCCTTCCTGCTTGCCGGTCGCCTTGCCAGTCTCCGCTGTCTGTGCCAGTTGACCGCACACAGGGAACAGCCTCTCGGTTAATCCCCTGAGCTGCCGTAGGTGGGGCAGCCCTTGTGATGGCGTTGGGCACTGGTGGGGGTTGCACGCAAGTGGTGCGTGTTCTGCCATGATAACAGAGCCGCTTTGTGCCTTCCGGACTCTGCGCCCATCTCCGCTGTCTGTGCCGGTCAACCACATGCAGGGGGACAGCCTCTAGGTTTGGGCCAGTTAGTCGTGTGCCTGGAGAAGCTTCTGTGCTAAGCTGTGTGGTTACTGTAGGCAGGGCTGCTCCCGGGCTGTTCCACAGCAATGGCGGGTCAGCTGGTTTGCTTGTAGTGCTTGCGAGGGGGAAGGAATGGCAGGCTGCCTATCACCTCCAGCGGGTTTGGAGCTGCGTCGTCACCCAGGGGGATAGGGCACCTGAAGTTCCTTAAAGTTCCCAGCCTGCTGGGTGAGTGTGCAGGACGATTTTGTCCACCTGTTAAACCCTTGGCCATTTAAGACTTTTAAAGCGCCTGCTTTTCTTTTGTCCCAGGGCAGCGGCTGTGGGAACCTGTTCACAGTCTCAGTCTCGAACCTTGCTTTTCTGCTCCTCCAGTATCCAGTGCACCATGCAGTATGTGCCTGTGCTCCTGGGGCAGCCCAGCAGGGCTGGTCATTCAGCAGTCCTGTGCTTCCCCCGCCTGTGAGCTGGTGGGGGGGGAGTGCTCGGGTCCCGCTGGCTCACAGCTTTGTTTCCTACCCTTTTCCATGAGGTGTTGGTCTCTCGGAGATGTAGCATGGCTCACGTACTGTGTCTTCTGAATTCATCCCTTAGCTCCTGGATATTTCTCTGTAGCTCCATCATCATGCTTATGACTTTTATTTTGAATTCTTTTTCAGGAAGATTGGTGATTTCAGTCTCACCAAGCCCTCTCTCTTGTGTTGAGGGATTTGGGACTAAACAAGGTTCTTCTGCCTTTATATGGCAATGGGAATGGTGGCCAGGGAGTGGCGCATGTGTCACCTGGGAGAACAAAATCCCTTCCTGCTTGCCGGTCGCCTTGCCAGTCTCCGCTGTCTGTGCCAGTTGACCGCACACAGGGAGCAGCCTCTGGGTTAATCCCCTGAGCTGCCGTAGGTGGGGCAGCCCTTGTGATAGCGTAGGGCACTGGTTGGGGTTGCACGCAAGTGGTGCGTGTTCTGCCGTGATAACAGAGCCCCTTTGTGCCTTCCGGACTCTGCGCCCATCTCCGCTGTCTGTGCCGGTCAACCGCACGCGGGGGGACAGCCTCTAGGTTTGGGCCAGTTAGTCGTGCGCCTGGAGAAGCTTCTATGCTAAGCTGTGTGGTTACTGTAGGCAGGGCTACTCCCGGGCTGTTCCACAGCAATGGTGGGTCAGCTGGTTTGCTTGTAGTGCTGGCGAGGGGGAAGGAATGGCAGGCTGCCTATCACCTCAAGTGGGTTTGGAGCTGCGTCGTCACCCAGGGGGATAGGGCACCTGAAGTTCCTTAAAGTTCCCAGCCTGCTGGGCTGAGTGTGCAGGACGATTTTGTCCACCTGTTAAACCCTTGGCCCTTTAAGACTTTTAAAGCACCTGCTTTTCTTTTGTCCCAGGGCAGTGGCTGTGGGAACCTGTTCACAGTCTCAGTCTCGAACCTTGCTTTTCTGCTCCTCCAGTATCCAGTGCACCATGCAGTATGTGCCTGTGCTCCTGGGGCAGACCAGCAGGGCTGGTCATTCAGCAGTCCTGTGCTTCCCCCGCCTGTGAGCTGGTGGGGGGAGTGCTCGGGTCCCGCTGGCTCACAGCTTTGTTTCCTACCCTTTTCCTTGAGGTGTTGGTCTCTTGGAGATGTAACCTGGCTCGCGTACTGTGTCTTCCGGTCACTCTTTTAGGGATAGTTGTACTCGCTGTATTTTCCAAATATATATGGTTTTGGGAGGAGATTTCCACCATCCTACTAACACGGCTATCTTGAGAATCTCCCCATGTGTTTGTTTCTTTCTGTGTCTTATGTCTTCCGGTTCATGAACCATTTCGCATTGCCTACGACAGGCCTCGGGGTCGCCTCGTATCCAGAAAGAAGGTGAGCAAGAGCGTGAGGCCACACACACTGAACAGTCAGAATTAGAGTTTCAAAGGACACTGTAGGTTGTGACTAAGGTATACTTGCCCTTCACACTGGGTGCTAGTGTGTCAAGCACCACAGACAGCCTTTTCTCCTGGGGACTGTTTAAAGCTGTTGCTTTGCCCAAAGCACAAGAGGCAGTATTAGTCCACTCAGTGGTGTGTGGTGGATTGGAGGGGTGAACAGATGATGTCTTGGCTCTTGAGAAGGTCGGATCTGGTGGCTGTAACAGCGGTAAGGGAGTACCTGATGGCTAGTGGGCTGTGTGTTGAGCATGTGCGCATCAACTCCTGGGCACCTGTGGGCCAGGCCCCTTCTGCCCACCTGGACGCAGTGAGCAGGGCCAGCGGGCAGAAATATGTGGTGGGTGTATTGTGGGTACAGAGAAGCAAGTGGAGGGGAGACTGCGCGTAGAGTGGGTTCAGAGGTATTCCTTAATCTGGGAGGCTGGGGAGAGGCCCCAGGGTAGTCTCAGGTTACCAGGGAGCCCTTGTGGCCTCAATGGAGGGATGGGGGTGGGGAAAGGCCGCCAGGACCCACGGCATGTGGGTGGATGTCAGCCCTGTGGCCCCTTCCCTGAGGGGAGGCCCTATGGACTGAAGGTGGGGGTTTGGGTAGAAGATGTGGCTGTTGGGAACAGCCTGGGTGTGGGAAGCCTGCAGAGCCAGGACGAGGAGGGGTCCAGGGTTGGGTGTGGTTGGTGTGGCCAGGAGTGCAGGGCCACTCTAGGGTTGGCGGAAGCAGGTAGGACGGAGCTGTCATTGTCTGAAATGGGGACCCCTGTTGGGAGGAGGGCAGGTCATTGGAAGGAGACATGGTACACTCCGACAGCCCAGTGGACAAGGTGAGGGTGCATTAAGGCAGGATGAGGTCGTATAGGACCCATGGAGACATCGCAGGTTCTTGGAGCTCGGGCACTGGGCAGAGAAGCAGGTGAGGTGTGTGCTGGTGTCCGGTGGTGCGGAAAGCCTGTGTGGTGGCGCAGACCTGTCCCAGTGTCCTGTGTCAGTCTCTAGGGCCAGAAGAAGCATCCTTGTGGCCTTGGCACAGCAGAGAGGTTGGAGCTCGTGGCCCTGACTGGCACACTGGGTTGTAAGCTGAGCCAGCATCTGGGGATAGGTCTGGTGGTGGGTGAGGGCGAAGCCAGCTTCAGCCTGGCCCCCCAGATCTGGCCTCTCGCTCCGGAGCCTCCTTTTGTACCTCTGTAAAGTGGGATGCTTGCATTCCCTGCAGGGAGGAGGCTCCCCAATCCCTCTGCGCACAGCTGCCTGGCCTGTGGACCCCAGGAGACCAGACAGGGAGCTCCCTGGACATAGACTGAACACTTGCAAAGATCTGGCCTGGCTGAACGGCCCATCCCTGCCTTTCCCCTCCCACACTTTGTCCCCCCTCTGAGACCCCATCCCCCGGCTGCCCTAGGCGAGGGAGGGGCCCTCTCCGACTTCCCAGGCTGTCCTCAGTGGGGTGTGACCTGGAGGAGAGCCCGAAGTGAGTGTCCATGAGTATTCATGAGTGACGGAAATCCAGGGAGCCCAAATTTCTGCCGGGGTTCCTGCCCTTCCACCCGCAGGGCCCTCAGAGGCCCCCTCTGTACTCCCTCATCAGTGGGGGCTGCTCTGTGCCAGGAAGGCTTCCGAGACTGCAGAGATCTGGAAGGCCGCAGGAGTCAGTGAAGCCATGGGGCTGGGCTAGAGCAGGGAAGGCCTAGGGATCCGACTTCCCATGCAGCCCGTCTCTGCAGCAGGGTCACCCCTTCCCCTCTCCGATTCCAGGGGCCTTCCTGCCTCAGGCCTTGGGTCCTGGTGCCCCCCGCCTAGGGTGAGCCCTCCAGTCAACACAGAGCCACCCTCTTTATCCAGGTCTCCGCTCAGGGCTCTTCCTCCCCACCTGAGCCCCAGGGCTGCTCCCGGCCCCATGGAGTCTCCTTACAGTCTGGCAGCAGGAGTGGCCCTGGGGAAGCCCACGAGGCTGGTCTGGCTTGGTTCTGGGGGGGTGCACCTCTTCACAACCTTCAGAAGTCCCAGCCCAGCAGGGGAGTGTCCTCAGGAACCCGGAGGCCTCCATGGCTTGACTCTGAGTGTCTGGAGAATCAGGAGCCATAGGGCGCCCCAGTACCAGCCTGCAGCCAGGGGCAGCATGGGACGGGCTGCAGCCCACGTGCCACGCTCTTCTCTCCTCAGAAACCCAAGGATTTTGACTTCACCCAGCAGAAGCTGACTGACAAGAACCTGGGGTTCCAGATGCTGCAGAAGATGGGCTGGAAGGAGGGCCATGGCCTGGGCTCCTGTGGGAAGGGCATCAGGGAGCCGGTCAGCGTGTACGCGGCAGGCGCTGAGGGCGGGGGGTGACTGTGCCCGGGGAGAAGAGCCTTTCTCTGGGATTCTGCTCCTGAGCCCTTTGACCTGCAACCTGATTCCTGGTCTCCCTTGTGTTGAACATGGCCTCCAGCTAGCAGTTAGTTGTTTTTAACTAAGGGAGTCTTCAGGTGAGAAGCAGGTCATTATATACACAGATGTTTACCTGGCTCTGTGCTAGCACAGACTATTTAAGTGGCTTCTCGGTCCCTGCCATTTCGGCCACCTTCATTATTGCCATGAAAGCTGAGTGGTAATTCTGGGTAGTTATACCAAGAAGCACTTTTCTTTTCTGGGAACCCATAAGCACACTGGCCAGAGAGGAGAACACAGCCCAGAGTTTAAGCCCCATTAACACACAGCCAGCATTCTATGTAAAACCGAGCCTAGCACCTGCCGGGGGAGGTTTCTGCTCTTCCCAGGGGCTTCTGAGCGTGGCCTCAGAGGTCCCACCAACTGCACTGGTGAGTACCCTGTTCCCCACTGTGAGCCACGTCTTCACACCCCTTTTCTGTGCCATCACCCTGTCCCGCGTGCCTGTCCCTTCCTGGCTGCTGTGCCACAGCCAGTGTCCCAGTGGCCAGGCTCAGGGCTCCAGGCGGCTAACTCTGTGTTCTGCTCCTAGGGGGACGGCCTCAGAAGGGGAGGGGTTGGGCGCCGACGGGCAGGAGCACAAAGAAGACACGTTTGACGTGTTCCGTCAGAGGATGATGCAGATGTACCGACATAAACGGGCCAACAAATAGGTATGTGAACCCCAGTGGGGCACTCTGCCCACACTGGCGGTCCCGTACACGGAGACGATTTCTCCAGAAGAGTTGGTGTTACCCACTCTTCAAAAGCCGAACATCAAAATACCATAAAAAGAAAATCAGAAATTTCTGTGAGGGAAACAAGTGTCTGGACACAGACAGGTCCCACAGGTCCCACCTCTCACCTTCCAGTACTGGCTGCAGGGCTCTCAGGCCCAATTGCGCTCGGCCAGGGAGCAGCCCGGTGTCGTGCGGGCAGCGTGCGGGCGGCTGGTGGCCGTGCCATGGTGCACGGCCAGCTGCCCCCAGCATCCCCTTCTCGGGTCTTCGCACCTGTTCCTTCTCAAAGGCCTCAGGCCTGAAAACACCCTCATCTTCCTCTCTTTAGCTGCCCTCCCCACGCATGATGATTTCCGACTCAGTTTTGAACAAAATCATTCTTTCCCTGAATAGATGAAAACCATTGGTGAGAAAGATAAGGCTTGAAGAGGCAATTACTCTTAACACGCCACCTCTGTCCCGGATCGGCCCTGCAGCCTGAGCCCAAGTAGGTGTGGTGGGCGCCCCAGCAGCCGCCCTGCAGTCCGGCAGGCCTGGGTGCAGAGCTGCCTCTGCCTTTACTTTCCTTAAAGATACAAACGCACCATTTCCAGCCTGCTTTTGCCCCACCTCCTCTTCCCAGTGCTTTTGTCGTCAGACCCCCTCGTTTCTCAGTTCCTCCTCAGAAGGCGGTGCAGTGCCCCTGCAGTGCTCGGGAGCTGGCTTCTGTCCCTGTCCCCATTCGTCCTGCAGGCACTGCTGTCCCGGCGAGCTCTGTTAGCAAACTTAATGCTAAAACGGGCACAGAATGTCTTCTCATTGTCTCCAGAATTTAAGCTTCCAGAATTTAAACGTGAACAGAAATTGCTTATAGCGAACTGTACTCTGGTACAGCCTGTTGGTAGGAGCTCTGAAGCTCTTTGAGCGAGCGGAGATTCCGTGAGCATGTTATTCCTGAGGTCTTATCTCTCAATGCATCCCCAGAGACTTGACGAAACTTTAGGAACACTATAACAACAGCTGCATTCAATGGGAGCCATCTTTACACCATGAAGCTTTCCCCAGATGTTGGGGTGGGTGAGGAACCTCCAGGGCCCCTCCTTGTGCGTGTGTGGCAGGGTGAAGAAGCGCTTTATTAGCCCTTAGTGTAGAACAGGCAGGGTCCCCTTGGGGTGAGCTGCCCAGCTGGCTGCTTTTTCTAGGTGCATGGTCGCCACCCCTCCATCCATCCGCCAGCGCTCTGCCTCTTGGAACCACATATGGAATTCAGGCTGTGGGCAGCAGTATTGACGTTTTAAGTACACGCCCAACAAAGTCGGGAAAACTTAGGATCCTGCTGACGTGACAGGCTTTGGGCACAGCAATAACCAACCTCATTGGCCACTGTTTTGACTGCTTAAAGCCACAGGCCTTCCCAGCTTAGGCCAAGGTCCTCTGGTTCTTACCTGTCACACCTCCTGTCTCAGGTTGCGTCCCTTCATGTCAGGTGTAGTCCCCAGGGCTCTGCCCGCCTCTGGTCATTTCTGTTGCCTTGGCAACTGGCAGGTGTTTGTGACCAGATGGGCGCTGGAGGGTGCCTCCGCAGAGCCGAAGCAGCCAACTGGCAGGGGTGGTGTCTGGGGAGTCACAGCTGCCCTGGTTCATCTCCTTCCTGACCTCCAGCAGCCTCCTGTGGTGGCCCGGGTCAGCGGCCCCTTGGCCTTTGAGAGCTCCTGTGGGCCCTGAGCGAGGCATGCATCCCCAGCACAGGCCTGAGCATAGAGAGCTCTGACCAGCATATTCACTTTGTCCCATATGCTCACTCTTGGCTTCTTCCACTTTTTTTGTAAGTAAAATGCTTTAGGAATCCCGGGGGTAGGCACTGTGCCTGCAGCTACCTGCCCTTCCTCTTGGGACATCACGCTTTGAGCTGACAGCTTGTGAGCCTTTGGCAGACATCAAAGAGAACACCTACCTTTTTTACTGGGAAGTTCTCTGAGCCCTCAGGTGACACTTTGTGGACTCGATGCTGGGACAGCAAGGGCACTGTGAGGGACGGGATGGGGCATGGCGGTGCGTCCTCAGGCCCGCGGCTGGCTGAGGAGCGTGCACGCCAGCCCTCCGTGCCCGCCCTTGCCCTTTCAGGGGAGGCCGCTCTGTGGGGAGCATGCACTGAACACGACGTGTGCTTGCGTAGCCTTGTCAAAGTCACAGTGTCTTTTCTGTCATTCTAGTTCCAGGGTCTCTTCCGTGAGGACAACAGGCATCCGGAAAGTGCTAACCCGCCACTCTGGGTGCTTACTGTCTCTGGCTTGTTTCTGTCCCTGGAAATCAAATAGAGAATTTTAGCATTTTTGATCCTTGGTAAAACTTAGAAGACATTTGTGATGTTACAAAATGGAAGTTTTTGGGTTTTTTCTTCTCCTTTTTTTTCTTTTTAAATCTAAGAAGTTGTGAATGTTCTTAGTCATTTAGCAGTGGCAATAAATGTAGAGGAAACCCAATTTTCCAGTCTCTGTCGATGTTTCTTTAAAATCAGAGAAGTTAGGGAACACATAGTGCATGTTGTGGCACCTGTGTGGAACCAGCCGGAAGGGTGCTGCCCCTCATGCGTGCTCTGGACCAGCCAGGACCTGCTGGGTCACTGGGAAAGCCCAGAGGGTGCAGAGAGCAGGGAGCCATCAGGCCCGTCCAGTGGGGCAGGGGAGGAGTTTACTGCAGGGTAGGAAACCCACCTTTGAGAGGGCACTGGGGACACCTGCCTGGCACTTGTGACTCACTTGTCCTTGTCAAGGCCTTACCCGGTCCGCAGTTGGGGTTCCAGCTGTCAGTCAGACCCAGGCCCCCCGCGATTGAGAGGCCGGCCTGAGGGCCGCAGCCCTGCTGCTCTCCCGTATGCCGCCTGGCCTGTGTCTGATTCCTCCATCGGCAGCCCCGGCCCTCCGGGTGAGGAGCGGGGGCAGAGGGCACAGCATTTTCACTGGAGCAGAGAAGCGAAACCCAACCCAGATGCATTAAGAAGGAGGCCCGGAGCTTTCCCCTCCTTCCCATTCCCACATTAAAGTACAGACCTTTTTAAATACCACAAGGCACCCCGCCTGCTGCCTGGGGACTCGGGTCCTCTCGCAGCTGCAGTCTCAGCCGTGTTCCGCGCATCTTCGCACGGGAGCGGGATTTCAGGTGCTGCCTGTGAGGGCACAACACCGGCCACAAGCAGAAGGCGCCGCCCTGTGTGCCATGGGGGAGAGTCGGCCAACCCCAGGCACGCAGGGCTCAGATCCCTTACACACAGAGGATGGTGTATATGCAGTTGTGTTTTAGATATCACCCTTCTTAAACGTGCAAATTACTCCTCACTGCACATCCTTCTGCCCGTTGCATTTGTCAGTTAACACCAGTTTACGTATAATTAACATACACATGTGATGGGCTGTCCTGAATTTAGCTTAAATTTCCTGCCCATGCGATTTGGATTGTTCTCAGGTTTAACGCCTACGTAGAACATTGTGGGCGTAAAGCCCTAGGAAATGGCACTTCTAGGGCCAAGAGGTGCTCCCTGGGGTTCTCCACCTCAGTGCCTCTGGCCACGACGTTCCTGTGCTGTGTCATCTGGCTTTGGGAGTAGCCCTGTCAGGGACCCCGTTTCCCCAGCTGTGCCTGCCTGGCAAGGGTAAGGGGGGGCTGTGCACCCCAGAAACAGCAGATGCTTCCCTCAAGGTGGGCTTAACCGGACGGCCCCTGGCTCCCCCAGACTCTTCATGCAGTCCACTCAGGACACAGACCCACTGCCGCCCCCCGTGCTTCCCCCAGATCCCCTCACCCTGGCCCTGGAGCCCGTGCTGGCAGGACCACGGCTGACCTTGTTCTCAAAGGGGTCATTGGCCTCGGCAGGGGACACCCCCCCACCACTCTATCCAGTGATTGTCCAATGCCCATGCAGGGCTGGACTCCCACCCAGGAGGCATCCTGAGGGCTGGAGATGTGCCGGCAGGGGGTACCACAGACAGCCCAGCTGTGGGGCAGGGCTTGGAGGGGCCTCCCCTTCAGTTTCTTCCGGTACAATGAGGCTGTGGGTTTGCAGGGTTAAAACAGTAATCCAGGACCTCCCACAGAGAAGGTTTAGAGGACTGGACTTGTTACTGATCCTTCCGCATCCTGTCCTCCTGGGCCTCAGTTTCCCAACCTGTAAAGCAGGCCTTGTGCATGAGGAGCCCCAAGCCCCTGCAAGCTCCAGGGCAGGGCCACACCCCCTGAACAGCCCCTCGCCCACAGAGGAGGTGTGGAGACCAAGGGTCTGGCCAAAAGAGGGGTGAGTTGTCAAACTCCCATGTGTTTGGGGATCAAGCGATGGGAGAGGAGCAGGGTGACAGTCCTAGGCTGACACTGAACTCCCACCCAGCTACCGCCCTGCCATCTGTCCTGCCCCATGGTTCATATGGGGAAACTGAGGCATTAATGTCCTCAGTGAGGCTGTGCCAGCACAGCCTCCATCTGAGGCCCTTCTTTAACACACGGCAGCCGCAGACTGTTTCAGGCTCCTCCCCAGCCTTGGCCAGAGGGAGGCACTTCCGAGGAACCCAGAGCCCAGCCTGCCCTCCCTAGAATTGGGTCATCCTTCCCACGGCCCCCCCGGGGCCTCTGACCCTCCCCCAGAGCCCAGCACTGAGATGTCCGCCCCCTCCGTTCTGCTGGTTGTCAGCATTCTTGGTGGGCGGTTGCAGTGGGCAAGGATGGTGGGGGGCTTAACTGTGTCCCTCAGAAAACCTTCCCATGTGTGAGTAATCAGGAGCCCAGCGTGAGCTGAGTGTCCGAGGTAACACTGGGTGTTCCGTGATACTGAGCGTGGCACGGGGCACTTGCCACACATGTTCCTGTCATCTTAGCCCATCACAGCCCACTTTCTAGATAAGGAAACTGAGGCCCAGAGAGGAAATGTAACCACCTTCATCACACCACTAATAAGGGCTGTATCTCTGAGAAGTCTTTTGTCTGCATAAAGTCAAAAGGGAAATACTTGGTTAATGGAATTGAGGATGGCTTCAGGCTCAGTTGGATCAAGATGCATAACCAGCGTCTGCAGGATCTCATCTTCCTGTTTCTTGGCTCTGTGGTGCTTGTGTCAGCTTCTTCCCAGGCTGGTGAGATGGTCACTAGCAGCTCTGAGCTGACCCTTATCTAGTTAGACAACATTAAAAAAAAAAGATCTGTTGTCTGATAGCTATAGGAGGGCACAGATTGCATGTTGCTGACTCATACTGAGGCACATTACTCTCTGAACCAGTCATAGTGACCAAAGGGCCACCAGTACACTGATGGGCCAGGACCTGAGTGACCTCACTGAGAAGGGCAAAGGTCAGCCCTGCACACCAAGATGCTGTTCCCTGGAGGACTACGAAGATACCCTGCAGATGGGTAGAGTCAGGATTAGAACCCGGGCCCTTACCACAGAGATACACAGACCTCAGCTGCTTGTACCCCTGCACATTCACCCCTTCAGATACCCCCAGCTTCAACGTCGCCATCACTCATGCCTGGGAAGGATCCCTGGAGGCACCTCCACCACCACTGAATTCCATTCCCTATTCTCCTCTTCTCTGAGCCTGTTTCCCCGTCTGTAAAATGGGTCCTAGGGAGGGAGAACCTTGCGCTCAGTGAATGGTCTAGGGTCACACTGGGCTTTAAAAAAGCAACATCCACATAAAGGTCCAAGGAAATGACTTTTCTGATTAACAAGGGGGTCCACGATGGCAGAGATGCCATGTCCAGGGCTCAGGACTCAACAGGGAAGGTACTGTCGGTACCAGGTCCTGGGGAACCGCTGGGGTCACAGCAGAGGTGGAACACATGACTTCGTGTGAGGCCAGCCTCAAGGCTGCATTTATCCTCCCAGAAGAGACCCAATCCGTCTGCCTTCAGCCCCTCCCTGGTCCCTTCCTCTGCCCCAGTTTCTTGTTCACCCATTCAGGGCCACGACTTATTTTCGGACAAGAACGTCTGTCCTCCCCACTCTGGCTAGCTGCCAGAGCCATGGGCTGGCCACACCAGGAGAAGGGGGGCCAGAAAGAATCCAGCTTAGCTGTGAGAGAGGGTAGTTCTTGGGGGCGGTTCTAAGTCAGTCTTGGGCTTTGAACTTCTGCTTATTTTCATAGACAGCAATTTACAGTTGTGGGCACCCCAATCTTCCGATTTCTCCATGCTCCTAATGAATGAAGGAGCTGGCATGCTGTTGACAGCACTGTTTGCAGTAGACATGAACATCATTCAGGAACTGGCCTGGGCGAGCCAGCCATGATTCATAGTTGTGAAGTGTCCAAATATAAATATTCTTTCAGTTCATTCCAACAAATGAGGGTGCAGTCAGTTTTATTTTTTAAGTTATTTGATATTATAAAGGCAAGTTCACCATCAGCCCCCACCTTCAAAGTGGCAAACTCCTATTCATTCTTCCAAACGAAATACACGAGGTCCCGTCCGACTACACACGCTGGCAGGCGGCCACCGCCGCAGTGTCCAGGAGGGGGAGCTCGGCTGCCCCGCCCCTGACCAAAGCCAGGCCGCTGCCCCACAGTGACCGCAAGGGTGGCAGTCTTGGGGAGCCATGCAGGCTGGGCCAGCGGGCGCTCTAGAGAATTCTCTCCTCCAGCACCACCATCACCAAGGTTGTGAACTTTCTGAGAAGAGGAACTGCGTCGTTATTTCGTTTCTTCATGCAGCTCTCTTGCATGGTAAGTTCTCAAAAGATGTTTACTGATATTATTAAGGAAAAAGACTTGACTCTGATGGCGCAAAAGGAAGAGACAGTCAGGAGAGGAGAAGATGCAGATGCGGGCTGATAGATGTCAGAATAATAAAACAAGAAAGAGGAAAACATTGCTTCCCACCGTTTGTTTATGCAAAGTCCGTTACATGCACATGTAGTTTTAAGAATGATGTGGCTCCACCTACACACAAACAGGTAAATTTGTTGCTCAGCCAAACGGTGTGTAGTCAGATGGGGAACCTAAATTATTTGAGCAGACTTGGCAATAATGCTCTGAACAGCAGCTACCTGCACTGGACTGGTGTGTTCATTCTCCCAGAAAAAAGTCCCATACAAGCTAAATCTACAGCTAAGAGCTGTAGGAGGAAGAACTTTTCCACTTTAATAGAAGCAGAACAAAATTTTCATGTTGAGTTGCAAGATGCTGTTTCTCTTTTTCAACCTTTACTGCTTTTTAAACTGTGAAAGCAATAGTGTTCATTCTAATAAATTCCCAACAATACAGAATAAAAAGTTACAAAGCTTCTCCCCCTCCCCAGCCCACGGATGATCATTTTTGGGTATCTTCCAAGATTTTGGTGTAAGCAGACATCAGCGTGTACACATTCCCGCACATACTGAGTGGACTATATCGTATAGAACCGTCAGGCTTAGCACAGAGACTTGCCACATTCTTCAGCATTGTTACACAGTATTTCATTATGTGTACATACCATGATTTATTCAACAATTCCCAATTGCAGG